ACGGCCACGCCCTTGCGTAAGTGACGGAATGACCTTCCCGCACACGCGTCGAATACCACGTGAAGTCCGCGCCGGGCGGGTTTGGGTGCTTGTTTTCGTCGCTGGGGCGTGCTGTGGTGCGTTCTTGGCCGCGACCGGGGGTTGGGGAGCGGGGGGAGGTAGCAGTGTATCGGATTGGTAGAAGGCTCCGGCAACGACTTCGTGGTGACGGGCGAGGACCTGGTGTACCTCACACGGCCTGTCGTTATCTTTGGACGCCAAGTATGCACATTCAGATTGCTCCACCAACACGAAAGAAGACCTCTTGGGAACACTCCACGTGTGCTTCCTTGAAAGTCTCTTCCTTAGTTTCCCAACGAGTCCCCCCATACTCGTTCTCGCCGAGTTTTCTTTCGTCTTCGGCTTCTTCGTCCTCGTTTTTGTCTCAGTCTTGGTGATGGTGCAGGAGTCGGGGGGAGCTGTGCGACCGTATACGCTGTCAGAGTTACCAGAACTACTGACGGTGGTCGCGTCGCTATCTGAACCATTGAGGTCCCCTGCATTCTCCGCGGGTCCGAGTAGCAAGAGTCCTGGCCCCGGTGCTTCCTCCTCGATACCATCCAAGAGCAGATGAAAGGCGGTTTGCATGACCGATCCCGAGCACACCAAATCGGAGGCCTGCATCGTAAAGGGCACGACGGTATCGACAGCCGTTTCCTTTGTGCATAGAACCTGGCCCTCTTTCCCTACGCAGCTACCTGAAGAATTTGTAGCCGCCGCCGCAGAAACCTTGCGTGCCTTGTGACGCGCCTCCACCACCAGGGTTTGTGACGGGCACGGGGTTTGCCCCTCCGAGATAAGCTTCTGGTTGTATCTGGAGCGGACCGTATCAGACGGGACGGCTCTGGGGCGTCTGGGGCTGCGGGGAGGCCAGTGAGCAGTACAACCAACGGTGGGACTGGCTGCGAATGGGTCGGAGGCCCGCATTTTCAAGTGCGTGGACAGAGGGGGGAGACGCAAAACCAGGGCGAGGACTGATAGCGACGAGGATCTTAGAGCGGAGTGAGAACTCTTTTAGGCTCTTGACCTTGGTGACGGTAATATCGGCGCTGTGGACGGTCCCTCTACTGGGCCTGGGGATACGGCTAACCGCGGGACTGGACTTTTGAGCAGTCTTGGCCAAACGAATGGGCCCCGAAATCCTCGTCTTGGATACAGGGAGGCGCTGCGGTTTTGGAGCAGGGACACGAGGATTACGAACAGCCGTGTTCAAAGGAAAAACGAATGGAGCCCTTTTGGGGACTGCCGAGGCCTGGGTGGATGGACGGCGAGGAGAAGAGACGAGAGGAGGGGGCTGATTCTTCTTAAATGCCGACGGGATGACTGTTACGGACATGGACTTGTCGACGAGAAGCAGTCTCTTCAGTCTGCGAGGGGAAACCGTAGAACTGGTTCCCGCAGACGACGAGGGGGTAGGACCGCGCTTAAAGAATGCAAACATCTAGAGGATTTCAGTCAGATAATGACACGGTGGGATTAGCGAGGTCGAGCATACCTTAACGACAGTGGGTGGGTTGGGTGGGGTGGTGGAGGATGAGGAGAAAGAGCGAGAGTGTGGCTGACAGGAGCACTGTGGCTTAAACTGAGACCTGGATGTCAGCCCCTAGTCGGACGCATCTCGTCCGGGACCGCTTGAATATCATTGGATGCTGGACTCGTAGGCCTCCTCCGACCTTGCTTTTGCTCTTTTGTCGCAGATAACTGTTAATTGACGGACCAAGGGAAGTGCAAGAATCCGAGCGCTCCGTGACACCGTTCACAGCTCAATCCACGAGATGCTTGAAAAGGTTCTAATACTTGAGATTGGATGCACAAAATGCTTTCTGCTTGGTGCCTTCGGCGGTGCTATCCGTGCACTCAGACAGTTGGCGAGAGGGGGAGACGTAAGGGCAAGACCGTGATAAGTCACAACAAATATCACTCGAACATCACTTCGATTTGGTTTCTTATTCACATACATACTTCGCCCAAAGCCATCGTGAATTGGTACAACTTGATTTCTTTTTCGTACATCCAGCTCTGCTTTACATGTGTGCTTTGACAACCTCGCCACCTTGAATCCTTGAAGCGCTCATGGTCTCTTCACCGCGCTCTCAAGCTTTGACGGAAGTGTGCACACCCAGGTTCGCGCGGAACCTGACCGCCTCGCTCGCGGGCTTGACCTGGAGCGGCTTCACCGTCGGCGCGCCGACAGCCTTGGCGATGCGGTCGGACAACGACTGGTCGACGGCGGCCCAAACGGACACTGCGAGGTTATTTATTTAGTTGGAATGCAAAGCAACAAACGAAGGAGACGACGTACACTGGCGCGCCCTGACCTCGGCGTTCTTGACGTTCCCGAAATGGCCGGCAACGTTCTGCACGTACGCCTCCCTCTGAGCGTCGTTCCACACCTTGCTCCACATCGCGCGCGGCTGCTCGAAGTCGACTGAAGATGAGGTTAAGTATTATATAGAATTGAATCTCTGCTCGGGAAAGACGTACGCTCGGTGATGAAGCTGAGATCGCGGAACGCCGCACCAACAAAGGTCTCGTGCTTGGCCTCGCGCTCAAAGTCGCGCGCACCGCCTTCGAGCGTGCCATGCGCACCGATATACTTGAGCGGAGCAATCGAGCTCTGGTAGTTCGGCCGCGCGCCCTGAGACACGAACGTGCTCGCGCCGTCGCGCTGGAAGTTGGCGATAGGGACGATCGGCGCATTGACGGGCAGCTGCTGGTAGTTGGTACCGAGGCGGTGGCGGTGGGTGTCGGGGTACGAGAAGAGACGCGACTGAAGGACGGGGTCCGCGCTGGGCTCGATGTACGGTACGAGGTGAGATGGCGAGAAGGCGGCCTGCTCGATCTCGGCAAAGTAGTTCTGCGGGTTCTCGTCGAGCACGAGCTTGCCAACGGGGCGCAACGGGAATTCGCCGTGCGGCCAGACCTTAGTGAGATCGAGGATGTTGTAACGGAACTGCTCCGCCTGGGAAGGCGTCATGGTTTGCACAAAGACATTCCACGTAGGGGGGTGGCCAGATTCGATGGCCTCGAAGAGACGCTGGATGCCGTAGTCGGGGTTTTCACCAGCGAGTTTACCTGCCTCTGCGTTGTTGAGGGTTTTGAAGCCACCCTCGGCACGGAAGTGCAGCTGGGTGTAAACGAAAGAGCCGTCTTTTTTGAACCACTTGAAGGTGTGGCCGGAGTAGCCGTGCTGCTGGTGGTAGCCATCGGGGGTGCCGCGATCGCTGAAGAGGATCATGATCTGGTGGATAGATTCGGGGTTCTGGCCAAGGTAGTCCTGGATACACGTCAGAAGGCTGATCTCTGCCTTAATCCTTCAGACACACCCAGAATGCATCGGGATCTTTAAGGTGAGTCTGGGGGTCGCGCTTTTGGGTGTGGATGAAATGGGGGAATTTGGCTGGGTCACGGATGAAGAACACCTAGGATGATGTTAGATTTAAACTCGCAAGCGCGAATTAATGGATCACGTACCGGTGTATTGTTCGCGACGATGTCCCTTTAGATCCGGATGGTCAGAACAAGCAGAACAAGGTGGCAGAGATGAGAATGAGGACATCCCCGGACGCTGAAGGACCAGACGATTGTGCAGGTGACCTCTGAACAACATCCATCCCCGCGCTTGGGAGAATACGAACACTCCTGGTAGGTGAATAGGCTCACCAGTTGCCCTCTTCGGTCCTCAGCTTGATCGCAAATCCACGGGGATCGCGCGCGGTATCGGCGGAACCAGACTCGCCACCGACAGTGGAGAAGCGGACAGTTGCCTTGACCTTCTTGCCCTTGCTGCTCAGAAGGGGGTTGTCGGTGAGGTCGCTAAGATCCTCCGTGACCTGGAAGTATCCGTGGGCTCCTGCACCCTTGGCATGGACCTGGAAGACTCTGTGAGAAGAGATCGGGATCGGACAACTTGATGCGTACGACACGCTCGGGAATTCGCTCGCCTGCACCGAGACAAGTTAGGGCCTTTCAGATATCGAGGGAGGAAACTCACGATCGAAGTGGGCCAGAGCATCGATATGGTGGAAGTCTTGCAACAAAAGCGGGCCTAGCACCCCCAGTCGTTGAGCTGCATATGGCTCCGAAACGGGCGCGCCGTTGGAGGTGGTGTAGTGGGCGGATTCGGCACCCGCAGTGACAACTTGTTTAGAGGGCATGGTTGTAGAAGGAAAGCGGTGGAGAGGTGAATAATATCCCAACGGTTTTTATATCTCATCTACCCGAGATCACGTTTATCACCTAAGGCGGGTGCTGTGATTGGTCAGTCCCCAAGATGCTATTTCGATCTTGGTCAAATGACGCGGGGTTCCGTCATTTTTGTAAATTCTAGCTCGTTCTGGCCGATTGATCGCGGAAGGCAGCAAAGGTATCTATAGAGTACAGCTCCGAATCGCTGGGTAGTGGTGTGAATGAACCGTGCAGACAACAGCCGGGAATATAATCAGGTTTCGGATCGCTTATCCGGGGTTGGCTTGATTCAATTGCAATGGTGCGAGACCACCCGTTGACAAGTATAGAGCTCGGGTGCCAGTGGGTCTGAACGAGTGTAAGGATCAAGTCGCGTCGGTAGTCATCGCTTCATTTTTGGTGGGACCCTATTTTCGCAACAACGCGGAGAAGTGATAAGAGGGGGAGACGGCGAACGGGATCCATATGCATCCGAATGGCGACATGTAGGCCGTTTTCCGGGTGCCGGATTGCTCTCAAGTAGCCGCATGGCTCGAAGAACTCCAGCGAAGGTGTACCATGTCGACCCATGACAGTGTTGCCTAAAGAAAGACCCGGCTGTCGGGATGAATCGCGAGGATCGGGTCCGTGGGCAGTCCTTGGCAAAGGTTCGGAATCCAAATGAATGGATAAGAAAAGAAAAACAAACTGACATCAAAATTCGGAAAAGTTCGGAACAGCGAGGATGGCACTTTGGAGCAGGGTATATGGTATCAAACTGGTCGTCTAACATGTCTTGACTAGTATATCGGTTAGTACACGCGCTTGTCATAAGCCCTACGGATCGATGCGCGCGAAAGCTGGGTTCGACTCCCAGGTCGAGAGTTTCTTTTTGGCGAAACATCTCTTCGCCGCACTTACGGACCAAGAGAACCTCAAACCGACCAAAGGTCAAGATATACTAAGCCTTTTGTACTTCCTAATCCCGATACAGAGATGCGTTCGAGCCTTGCCGGTGTTTGCATGAACAACTCCTTGGCACTCAACTATGACCACCCGGACTCCGACTAGCCACTGGAGTGCGCATCCTGCGGCCCCGAAGTCAGAAATGGCATGGAACCATCGTCAAATACTTTCAAACGAGCAGCAGCAGCATTACTCAACGACGCGATACGAACGTCGGCACAGTGTTGGAGACTTGGAGTAGACGGTTCATCTTACCGGGCAACCTCAAGCCTCAATATTGATCTGAGACATCTTCTTGTGTTTCACTCCACGGCCTCTCATGTCTCGCCTGAGTCGGCGGTGCTCGCCATTCCTCTTTTAAAGCCTTTTGTACCCCTGCTCGATCGGACACATGCCAACAATTCGGGATGTCACTAACACTGACTGTATAAACCCTCTGGTTAGTCGTGATTTCCAAACCCCACTTGTAATTCGTATCTCTGCCGTCCATGCCTGCAACTCCGGAGTCTGTCAAGCTTTTGCTTGGGCCCATATATGTCGGAACCATTGTGAGTATTCTCGCCGATGTTCTTTCGTGTCTGAACTCCCGTCAACCAGCTCAGTACCTGTTTATTCGGTGCATGCGCCGTCCAATTCATGACCTACTATCTTTCAAAGCGCCGACTCCAAGACTCGTTCACTGTATGGTCAGTTACCAGCGCCCGTACATCCCCCAGATTGTTAAAACGTGCCTGAAGCGCTCTCGTCCTCTGGGAATTCGTTATTTCGATATTTTGCGCCGCGACTTCGGTTTATTTCGTATGGCTCTACCTGGTGGACAATTATTTCAATCCTGAATTTTTGGCTTCCGCGCCATGGCCCTTGACCGCTGTCCCCATGCTTTCCGGATTGTAAGAATATTTTCACACCTCCGACCCGTTTCACAGATGTGTTTAGATCGGCCTGCCCTGTTCAAATATTCATGGCATTTCGAGTCCTGCAACTTTCCAAGTCTCGTTTCTTATTCAGTTTATTGGTCTTCCTGACCATTGTGCACGTCAGTGCCATTTTTATGACATTGATCCGCCTTGCTTACGCGGTCTGCAGGGTGGAATATCTCTCGTGACAAGCATTTTTGCGTTCGGATTAGCGTAGGCACCTCGATCCATCGCATATACACGACTCATTCGACCCTAGTTTCGATGATGGGTCCCGATTGACCCCCGTGGCCGACAGCTGGCTGGCATTGGCCACCGTCAATGATGTGGCTCTAACGTACGATTCAATTCCAGGTTGCCTGAGCTATTCAAAGAACCCCGAACTCCAGGGTTTCTATCATATATTATCTGAACCGGAGTCGGACTGGCTTCAGCAGTTCGTGTTTCCTTCCTTGATTTTCATGCTTCTCACACTGCGTATTCAGAAACAGACGGTGTTATCGGCCGCCTGACCCGGTCTGCGCTCGAGAGCGCCGCTTTCGCGAGCTTCTTTTCTGTATGCGATTTCTCGCGAACCCAAGTTCTTTGCTAATTCGTTCTATCAGATCATGGTCCTGATCATGTTTGTAAGTACCCATTCATGATGACCACCCCTTGAATTTACTCTCCATTGCAGACAAAACTACCCACCACCGGCTTCCATCTCATGTTTTCCCAACCAATGGGCCGGATATATACGTCAGTTCAGATTTTCTCTGTTCAATTGCGTTCGCTCATCATGTTGTAGGAGCACATTATTATCAGTATGTCTTTCCGGTCTCGAACGAATGTGCATTCACCATTCACAGACGCTCAACGGCCGCGAGGCCCTGCGCAACGACCTGCAATGCACTTACGGGCTCGATGAAACGCTGAATATTGACCACATCAGAAGATTCAGACCTCCAGCATAGTGTCGCCGATGTCCGGCTTTTTGTGAAAAACTCTGAACCCCGAACCTGACCTCAGGTCCGGTTCGGTCTGGGGTTCGGGACAGGTTCAAACCTTTTTGAACCCAAAAGACTTCCCATGCCCCAGGAGCCAATTATGTGGCCTGGGAAGCCTTTGAATGCTGTATATTGCATGTATCATCTCAGTAGAACAGGCCTTTTAGATGACTGTGTGAGGATAGACCTCCAAACATCATGTTCGACAATTTCTATCTTGTCTGATTATCTATCAATTCAACGGTAACAAGCATATATAACTATGGAAATGTATTGCAGCTCACGGTGCATACAAGACACTTGGTAGGTTGGATTCCAACTCGAATAATCGCAGTTTCTATGCATTTAGTCTATCCAAATAGGTCGATTTTTACCTATCGGTTCAAACATGTTTGCACCGGTTCGGCAAAATCAAGAATCTGCTGAACCCCGAACATAGGGTCCGGTTCGGGTTCGTCAGGTTCGGCATCGGTTCAGAACCGAACACTACTCCGGCAAGTACCGTTCCGTTGTTCTAGCCTTCTCGTTTGTGTCTGTAGACGTTCGACCATAGCACGGTCGCTGTAAAGGTCACAGTGGAGGAGTTGCACGACGCTTCCGGGTCCGACAGTAAACATACAGGATCTGATTCATACCACCCATGTACCTTTCGGACTCAGCTCAAATTGCCTCAAATTGCTTCAACGTTCCAACCATTTTTGACCACTTGACCTTCAAGGCTCAAGTTGAAGTCGAACCTAAGGACACCCGCGGGTCCACCTCGAGTGGTACTTACCCGCAACCCACCCCCGAAGGTACGGGTCTATATCGCGCACTCAAACCCGCGGGCATGCTCCACGACAAATAGAAATATAAGTTTTATGGTGTTCCCTAGAAGCTCCAGTGCCTAAAAAAATCCAACAAAGTGAGCGGCGGACGGTTAGTAACTTGGCTGTAGTCAAACTTTGATCGCTTTCGCGCTTGTCGGACCTCGGAGGAGGTGAGTATAATCCGATACTTCTTTCTTGAAGGATCTGCCAGCGTTTGGGGGGACCGGACGGGCGGGCTCTTTTTCGGAGACCGCCACGTTCGGGCGAGCGGGCGCGCGTTGGGCGAACCCAACGCACGCCCCTGGCAGACCCAACAAAAACGGAAGGAAAGAAGAGACTGACTCAACAGGAGAGGGTGGGTGGGACCGAGAAGAACGGGGGAGGAGAGCGCCCGAACAAGACGCCGCATCTTTGGTACCACTGGCACGACGCGCGAAGATCAACTGTCTGTTTGCTTACGGTCCGGCATGAAACCCCGGCTCCCTCCGTTCGTGCCTCACTCTACGAACCTCTCATTTCGCTGTACAGAGCGGCTCAAAATCCTGAAAATATTTGAACGTTTAATTCATCCATGTGGTGGTTCAATATTCAATCCTGCGTACCGAAAGAATTCCGGGCAAAATTGAGCCCGCCAGAATCAAATCATCTTCCCAGACCCGTCTCGCACCTTGTACGTGAGACTGATCCACCGTATTCGCTGGTTTGACACCGTAGTCTTGATCCCTTCCTCACCCGTCCAACCCGTACCCGCGACCAGCAATATGTGAATGTCGCGATACGGTTTGTATGATATTGCGCCATATTGTGGCTATTGAGTTTGAAGTATTCCTCGTGCGCCTTAAAGTATTGCAAGCTCTTCGCCTGAAGCCCAGGAAGGAAAAAATCTCTCAAAAATTCATTTCGCACCGTTAGGTACTTCAACAGGAATGCGGATGGAAGCAACTTGAAGTTCGGTTGATCAATGTGACCGGCCCCAAATGTGATTCAATAGGGCGTTTCACACATCCCAACTTGAGGCCCGATTTGAGCCCCAACTTGGACCCCAACTCAAGACGAAGTTGGAACCTGAAATTAGGCCGATTTCGAAGTTGGATGTCAAATCGTGCTTGACCCCACGATCTGACATCCAACTTGACCCCAACTTGGCACCCGATTTCGTGCCCCAACTTCGCTTAACGCACCTTGGATACGCGAGAATGCCAACTTGATGCCAACTCTCGGACTGATGGGCATTCACACATCAGTCCCCAACTTGAGTCCCGACTTCGATCCCAACTTGGTCAAGTTGGGGCCAAGTTGGGGTCGAAATCGGGGTCAAGTTGGGGCTGAAATCGGAATGCGTGAAACGCCCTAATGATTGTTCGCTGTTCAGATACGCCCATCTCCAAAGTTTGAAACTGCCAGTCAACGCAATTGAGTACTTATTCAAGTTCGGGATTTAAACAGTTCGCCCAATATATATCAGGCTCAGCTTCAACGGTCCCGCGGCACGGTGTGGTAAGAGCGCGCTACCGTGCCCGCAGCATCCACCACACGATACCCCCGCAGCAATTGATCGCAGCAGCGCTACTCGGAAGATACAAAGGAACAGAACTAGAACACGAGCTTTTTGCCAATCGCCCGCTTGTTCTCCTCGGATGCCTGGACTCACCCTTTCTAAGGTGTTCCTTCTTTTTATTGTCACGGCTGCTAGGCCTTCCGCTGCAACGCAAGCGCCCTTTCACGTCGCCACTGACACAGAGCGCAGCAACCTTGTCAATTCCCCAGTTGGTGACTCGGAATTTTATCAGTTCAAATGGCCCATTCGTAAAGTCGCGATAATTGGTGCAGGTGTGAGGTCTGTACTGTTTCCTGAGTTCACTTGCTGTTACTAACGTTCCGATACTGCAGTGGGCTCCTTGCATATCGTGAGCTAGTCGAGGCTGGCTTTGATAAAGTCAAAGTCTTCGAGCGAGACGCCGTACCTGGCGGTATCTGGCACTACACGGAAGAAACTCCAGTTGAGGCGCCTGTCCCCAATGAGGACCCCAAGATCGCAGACTACGAGCCTTCGCTGCCGCCGCAGGGCAGTACTCTGCCCTTGGAAAAATGGTACACAGATCACAACGACAGCTTAACGACGGCAGAACGCTGGAGGAGGCACCGTGCACCTCATGGGGTCTGGAAGTCGCTGACATCGAATGTGCCGGCGCCTCTAATGCATGTAA